GAAATAATTCATTCTTATGATTAATAATAGTATAAGTACCTTGTTATAATAATAAATAAACATTGGTATCAATAAGTACCTGTCAATGTATTTCTTTCTTTTATTTAACTGTAAATAATAAAAATAAATAATCTTTTTGTAAAGATGGTGAAACAGTCATCTTAGAACGATTACTTGTAGATATTCTGTTCAACTAATTTACAGTGTATTATTTATTTATTTAAAAAAACCAACTGGATTCACTATTTCGGCAATGTAGTTCAAGGTCTAGGTAAAATATACTACAAAACTGGAAGATTTTCAAATTCATTTCACAAACTTCTCGTATACTATATACTAATCCATGATGCTATTTCTATAGACGAAACAATCAATCAAAACTTGATAACCAATACCTGCTTCGGTTTAAGTACCCGGGCAGTATCACAGCCCTCACGCATATCACATGATATTTATGTGGCGCATATGTATTTAGTGCCTCCTTGTACCAATATCTATGTGTTAAAATAAATAAATAATATAACCAATCGACATTGTAGAAAAAATGGTGTCAAATATAACTTTCTATGTGATTGACAGGTAGTTATTAAACACTTAAATCAATCAAATAAGAAGTTATTTGACAAAAGGTTATCAATTTGATACAATTATGCACTACATATTATTAGTTGACCAATCTTAAAGAGAGGGAGAGAGACGGTAATTACAAAAAGCGTACTAGCATGTACTAGTTCAAGCCGACCCACTATTTAAAATGATAAAGCAGAAACATAAATTAAAATGAAGGAAATAAACACGTTCAGACATAAAAGAAAAGGATATTGAGATTTTAGGAGATTACGAAAGATAAACAATATCTGATACATAGACTTCAAATAATAGCCAAAACAAGTGGCTTTAAGGACTGATAACACATGGCAGTCAATTCAATCCTAGCCGTTCTATGACTTCTAAATTCATCAGAATAGTAGGAATAATCATAAGGGGGGGGACTCATCGTATGTTAAAAGAATACTACCAAGTTACCTTAGTCGATTTATTATCATTAGGAAATCCAGGAACAAATAGTTTCTGACCATTATGGAAGGCAACAGGCGCAAAAAAGAAATGACGAATATCATTGGAACCATGAACTGATCAATGAGAGACCAATATAGGAAACCTGGAAGTACTAAACGGCAGTTTCGTTCTAGAACGAGACTCTTCAACATTGCACATCCACGATCACGCAGGCGGGACTCAAACGCAGGGTCTTCGGTTGCGCTCAAGCACTTAACCCCTAAACCACTGAGCTGACATCCAATAGTGTTAATGTCTAATCTCAACCAATCCACGATATTGCGCAATCATCTCCCACTGTTTCGGTGGGTAAATGCCTCACACACGACACAGTTCAGCTCCACTGGTCACGCTTTTCACTAGAACCCGGAAATTCCCTCTTGAAGATACTCATTAGTGAGGGCATGATAATTTTCCGTATGACGTTGCAGAGATTGTTAAATTTCATTGAGATCATGAACCCGTCAGCCATCTACACGACTCAGTCCAACTGTCGAAGCCTTCGTGGATTGATGGCACGAGCTTTCTTCCAACCTGCTTCTACAGAAGATCGCTTATCGTGGTAAGTGATGACCAAGTATACACATTTCCCAATCACCTCAGTTGAGGATTCACTGCCTAAACGATCGATTTTCCATATTTACATCGTACTTTAAGCCTGACCTTGACATTACTCACTCGGTGATCCGAAAATACACAGGCGATGCTCCAAAGACATATATGATCGAAAACAATTATCTACAAATATTCTCTATTTTTAATAACCATGTTTCACATCCATAATATAGAACAAAGAGAATTGATGAACAGTAAACTCATCTTGTTGTTGGTAGATAGGTATCTAACCTAAGTGACAAGTGATGCAAGTTGGCGAAGGCTAGTCGAGCCCTCCGAATCCAAGCTTTGACAACACTTGTGTCATCTACAAATACATTTGACATACCACTTCCATATTGCATAGTTTGATTCCTTCATCAGGTAACACGTCTTCGAGAGATAAGTGAATTTAACAGCTACTTGAAGCACTCAAAATACAAATCGAATTCGAGTGAAATTGAGACATTACCTAAGTACTAGAGCGAATAAGACTTCTGAGTCACACAAAAATTTAAACGACCAGTTCCTAATAAAACCCACTAAATATATTTCTCACTTGTCTACTTTACTCGACGAACAATATATCTTACAAGTGAAAAAGAGGCTTTCAATTATAATTTCGCATACGCTCTTTTCCCTAGCTTTGTGATGCTTAATCCTGCTATGTCATCATCACTCTCCATAATACATTTAGAAGATTAGCAACTTACAAGTACTTTTTAGCTTAAGGGCGGTTTGAAATATCTAGACTTATTATTGAATAAGTTGAAAAGGATTCGCATACCTATTTAAGACCTTAATTTCATATAAGAACGTCATGTTATCTATAAAGGAAACAGAATGTCTCTCATCTTTATAATCATCAATCACATCGTGATTGTATAAACAATACTAACAAATTCATGAAATAAAATGCAGAATATGTAGGAAGTAAAGTCTACGAGTTTCATTGGGCGGTATGAATCTGAGGTATGCATTGTAAACATATTAACGATGCGATGTTACTCAGTCGAATATAGCGGAGCCTGGCACATGTGTTTCAGCATAAGTTGTCACCCTAAATCAGTACCGAGGGATGAAATTATCAAGGCATTCCATGGTAATAACAGTATCAGTGGAAGTGGGGAACACTAAATATAGGCGATACGAGAATAAATTCATGGGAATAAAACGTATATGATTTCAAAACTCAGGATTTAAGAGAACACAAGTAGTGAATGTATCTATGACATTGCGGCCTATTCTGACCAATATCACTGTCTCCAACTACTGGCTACGATAATTGCGATGTCATAAAACTTTGTCGTTAGATGGTTTGGACACTTATTATACATCGACTTAAATGCATAATGATGAATGGTCTATACCAGATGGAAGCCAGAGACAGTCAAACAGAAAACTGGACAGAGTCGTGTTGATATGTGCAGGTTGACTAGTTGGAATTTGCAGGATCGACATGATTTTAAATCATAGATTACCTGGGATGGAACAAAACTCATTACAGTAAACCAGTTTCATTTATGTTGTATTTACCTGCAAATCTTATTTTTAAAATCACGGGATTTTCTAATCTTGTTTTTTAATGCATGATAAATGATCATATTAGAAATAAAACTCAACGTAATTATGCAACTGTGAGCTAATGTATACATTAAGTCATCTTCAACATTTCGCCATGATCGGTAAAACTAACCAGATACACTTGAAATACCTTTCTCGAAGAATAGTACCCATACTTAAATTGCTAAGTTGTTGCAAATTTTAAGATGCATAGTTATCTCAACTAAAGTTGTTTACTGATATTGATCATTGCATATCTGAAAATGTCCTAAACAGAGAATTAAATCTTCATTCACACAACTCTTAGCCTAATATTATAAAAAAGCACAGCTATTGTATTTCACCATTAATGACTTCTATGTTACAAATTATAGGGAACTGGCTTATAGTACATGACAGTATAATTTCTAGTCTAATAATCTATTCTATTTAGTAAACAACCAAAATCCTAGATTTAAATTTTTTTTAAAATACCTGACAAATCGTTTAATAAACACTTCAAAAGTATGATTTACATTTTAGGTCAGTTAGAACCCAGCACATAAATGTAAATTCGCAATAGAGATTTCTTGCTCAGACTGTATAAACAGAACAGTTACTAGATAATAAAAACTTGTCAGGAAAGGATTTTTGTGGATATTATAGTAATTTTAATAGTTGAGATCATGAGTCAATTGAATCTAGATCACTATGGAAAATCTAGAAACACTAAATAGCCGTTTCGTCCTATTATGGAACTCCTCAGTAGTGCACATCCACGATCCCACCCTGTGAGATTCGAGCCCAGGACCTATCGGTCTTGTGTGCAAACGCTTAACTTCTAGACCACTACTGAGCCGGTATTCAACGGTGTTAATATCATGGTTATAAAGATGAATTAACTGAAGTACTCTACACAATACTTGATTGAACATTTTTCCTGTAAATGAAATTCACTTGGACCTTATAATGAACAATATACAACAGATACCGACCGTAGCTGCTACCTTGATGCGGTGGTCGGGCTTGCCTATCGTGATCACCCAACCAAGTTATATTGGCTGGAACATATGTTCCTGTAGGTTCTACCATGCCAGGCAAGTCGACTGGAGAACGGTAAGACTAAAAGCAGCAACTCAAGGTCTGAGGGCGAATTCGTACTGCTGACTGTAGAGGAGTGTGACATCAGTAAAGTGTGTCCCTCGGACAACCAGCATCTGCAGCGATGCTGCCTTCTCACAAGGAAGGAAGGGGTTAGAAAAGGTCGACCCTAAAAATGTCACACCTCACGGATTTCCGTCTCCGGCGCGGTAAGACTCTTTGAAGAACGGAGCTAACACGTCAAAAACCTCCCATAAAAAAGGCCGTGCGCGACCAGCCTCAAGCAGGTGTCTCTTGGGCTCTGCGGTCACGTTCCCAGGTCGTTAAAGGCCAACATTAATCCGACTTCCTTTTCAGGTTCCTCAAGAAATACCCTTCCACGGTGTGGGCAGCCGGGAAGTGACACCAGCCCTCATAGTCGTAACAGCACACTGACTGAATATACAACAGATACATATACATATATATTGCTTGACGTTTGGCATTTTTGAAGAAAACAAAAGTGAATGCAACAATAAAATATAAACGTAGAAATGATTAGAAATAAAAGTTGACATTAATCATAATAATAATAATAATAATGACAATGTATGATATATTGTATTAACAATAACAAAACAAATATACACTTAAACTATTATATATAATAAATAGAAACATGCATAGATTATATACAACATCAATTTTAACAGCATAACCTAAGTGGACAGTAAATATAGATATATTTAATTCTAAAAAAAAATAATAAAAACGAAATAAATTACAGTAATATTGTAATAAGAATTAACATAAAACCATGGATGAATAAGTTAACTAACTAATAAACATTAGTATTCAATCGTATTGGTAAATGTTGTTACTCTAGAGAGTCTATTAATATTACTACTACTAGTAATAGTAATAATAATAGTAACTATGGCAACAACAAGTGAAATATATATATATATATATATATGGTACTCTTTGAATGGAATAAGGATAATAGGTTGTTCCTTTGAATAAATAATACACTAAACATAAATACATAAAGGTGTTAAAAATAGGTAAACTTTTTTTGTCTGTTATTTATTTTTATAGATTGTTTGTTGCTGTCTGTTTTTTTCTTGAACGAGTTTGACGAATTGAAACTGGTGATTGTTTAGCTTGAGATGATTTCGATACTACTGATCTACTATTATTATTATTAGTAGTAGTAGTGGTCTTTAATTTCGACTTATTAGTGATTTTAGAAGTTGATATTTTTTCTTCAATTGGTTGACTTATTTCTGAAGAAGTAGTTATTAACTTACGAGAACGAAGAACACGTCTTTTTGGTGAAACATTAGCTATATTATCAACAGGCGTAACAGAAATGCGTTTAATATGTCGTGAATTTGTGTTAACCTTCAATGTTGTAATATTTTTAGATTCATTAGTTGAAGCGGATTTTGAAGATGAAGTAGTTGGAAGTAGTTTTGATTTTGGAGTGATTAGCTGTTTACGGTTTCGTGGATTATTTGTCATGGTACCATTTTTCTTCTTTTCCTCACCAGATTGGTTTTTCACGAGTAAAGATTTTTCTTCATTTTGTGTCTGTTCAGATGTTATACATTTAATATCCAACTGATCAATTCTACTCCGTAGACGTTTGGCCAATGGAATACTAGAAGAGACTCTACGCACTTCAGCTAGTCTCTTTATAGATCTTTTTGAGGTGTTGTTTGCAGACTTCGTTGCATTGACCGAATGATTGAGCAGAGAATCAGGAAACTGCGAATCCATGGTGGAAACGTTCTTGGTTTTTGACCTAGTTTTCGACGGTTGTATGGCAACTTCATTATTCGATTGAGATACAACTTTTCTAGAGGATGTTTTTATCACGGAACTCTTACCGGAACTGCCTTTAGTGGCAGACTCACTGATCAAAGGGTCCGGTGCTTTAACTGCACGTCGAGTACGACTAGATGACAAACATTCAATACTTGACGGGATCCTTCCATTACGGAGACGGCTTGCGACAGGAAAAACAGAATCAGACTCACGATCCTTAGACGTGTTCGAGCTAAAGGATACCGTAGGATGTGAGTTCTCAATAAAACCCATTTTCAAAAGTGAAGATTGATCACATGAATTTGACGTATTATTAGGAGTCAACCGAGATGTAAATGCGAGAGTCTTCCCTTTCCGAGAATGATTTTCCATCACATTCTTCGGGAACGGGACAACCACTTCAGTGAGTTCTTTCAACATCCGTTTATCCAGAGACTTTACTACACTCATTGAACGATCTGAAAGAGAATCAGGATACTGTGAATCAATGGTGGAAACGTTCCTCTTGGTTTTTGACCTAGTTTTCGACGGCTGTACGGTGACTTCATTAGTCGAATGAGATGTAAATTTTCCAGGTGATTTTTTCAAAATAGAACAATTAGAGTTAGCGGATTTGTCGAATGAAGACTTCGCTATTTTAACAACACGACGCGTACGAATGGATGAAAGAGACTCAACGACAAGGTCAGAACATTTTCTCATAGAACACTTGTTAACTATGTGATTAAAATCAAAACCACATTCACATGCAGACAGCAAACAACGACACGATTTACAATGCCTACGAGACAATGAAGTAACACCAGATAGTTTCTGTGAACTACAATGCACGTTAAAACTAGGTTCCTCGACAAACAGTTCACTAACACCAGATATACGAGGTGTTTGCACAGGCTTCGGAGTTCTCATCAACTTCCTAACACCAGTCAAACCAGATTCCTTTCGTGGAGACAACAAACTCTTCTCAGGTGTAACTGCTCCCTCCTCTGTCAAGTTGGTCGGTGGCACTGATGAGGGTCGACCACGACGTCTCTTCACACTAGGTTCATCGACAAACAGTTCACTAACACCAGATATACGAGGTGTTTGCACAGGCTTCGGAGTTCTCATCAACTTCCTAACACCAGTCAAACCAGATTCCTTTCGTGGAGACAACAAACTCTTCTCAGGTGTAACTGCTCCCTCCTCTGTCAAGTTGGTCGGTGGCACTGATGAGGGTCGACCACGACGTCTCTTCACACTAGGTTCATCGACAAACAGTTCACTAACACCAGATATACGAGGTGTTTGCACAGGCTTCGGAGTTCTCATCAACTTCCTAACACCAGTCAAACCAGATTCCTTTCGTGGAGACAACAAACTCTTCTCAGGTGTAACTGCTCCCTCCTCTGTCAAGTTGGTCGGTGGCACTGATGAGGGTCGACCACGACGACTCTTCACACTAGGTTCATCGACAAACAGTTCACTAACACCAGATATACGAGGTGTTTGCACAGGCTTCGGAGTTCTCATCAACTTCCTAACACCAGTCAAACCAGATTCCTTTCGTGGAGACAACAAACTCTTCTCAGGTGTAACTGCTCCCTCCTCTGTCAAGTTGGTCGGTGGCACTGATGAGGGTCGACCACGACGTCTCTTCACACTAGGTTCATCGACAAACAGTTCACTAACACCAGATATACGAGGTGTTTGCACAGGCTTCGGAGTTCTCATCAACTTCCTAACACCAGTCAAACCAGATTCCTTTCGTGGAGACAACAAACTCTTCTCAGGTGTAACTGCTCCCTCCTCTGTCAAGTTGGTCGGTGGCACTGATGAGGGTCGACCACGACGTCTCTTCACACTAGGTTCATCGACAAACAGTTCACTAACACCAGATATACGAGGTGTTTGCACAGGCTTCGGAGTTCTCATCAACTTCCTAACACCAGTCAAACCAGATTCCTTTCGTGGAGACAACAAACTCTTCTCAGGTGTAACTGCTCCCTCCTCTGTCAAGTTGGTCGGTGGCACTGATGAGGGTCGACCACGACGACTCTTCACACTAGGTTCATCGACAAACAGTTCACTAACACCAGATATACGAGGTGTTTGCACAGGCTTCGGAGTTCTCATCAACTTCCTAACACCAGTCAAACCAGATTCCTTTCGTGGAGACAACAAACTCTTCTCAGGTGTAACTGCTCCCTCCTCTGTCAAGTTGGTCGGTGGCACTGATGAGGGTCGACCACGACGACTCTTCACACTAGGTTCATCGACAAACAGTTCACTAACACCAGATATACGAGGTGTTTGCACAGGCTTCGGAGTTCTCATCAACTTCCTAACACCAGTCAAACCAGATTCCTTTCGTGGAGACAACAAACTCTTCTCAGGTGTAACTGCTCCCTCCTCTGTCAAGTTGGTCGGTGGCACTGATGAGGGTCGACCACGACGTCTCTTCACACTAGGTTCATCGACAAACAGTTCACTAACACCAGATATACGAGGTGTTTGCACAGGCTTCGGAGTTCTCATCAACTTCCTAACACCAGTCAAACCAGATTCCTTTCGTGGAGACAACAAACTCTTCTCAGGTGTAACTGCTCCCTCCTCTGTCAAGTTGGTCGGTGGCACTGATGAGGGTCGACCACGACGTCTCTTCACACTAGGTTCATCGACAAACAGTTCACTAACACCAGATATACGAGGTGTTTGCACAGGCTTCGGAGTTCTCATCAACTTCCTAACACCAGTCAAACCAGATTCCTTTCGTGGAGACAACAAACTCTTCTCAGGTGTAACTGCTCCCTCCTCTGTCAAGTTGGTCGGTGGCACTGATGAGGGTCGACCACGACGTCTCTTCACACTAGGTTCATCGACAAACAGTTCACTAACACCAGATATACGAGGTGTTTGCACAGGCTTCGGAGTTCTCATCAACTTCCTAACACCAGTCAAACCAGATTCCTTTCGTGGAGACAACAAACTCTTCTCAGGTGTAACTGCTCCCTCCTCTGTCAAGTTGGTCGGTGGCACTGATGAGGGTCGACCACGACGTCTCTTCACACTAGGTTCATCGACAAACAGTTCACTAACACCAGATATACGAGGTGTTTGCACAGGCTTCGGAGTTCTCATCAACTTCCTAACACCAGTCAAACCAGATTCCTTTCGTGGAGACAACAAACTCTTCTCAGGTGTAACTGCTCCCTCCTCTGTCAAGTTGGTCGGTGGCACTGATGAGGGTCGACCACGACGTCTCTTCACACTAGGTTCATCGACAAACAGTTCACTAACACCAGATATACGAGGTGTTTGCACAGGCTTCGGAGTTCTCATCAACTTCCTAACACCAGTCAAACCAGATTCCTTTCGTGGAGACAACAAACTCTTCTCAGGTGTAACTGCTCCCTCCTCTGTCAAGTTGGTCGGTGGCACCGATGAGGGTCGACCACGACGTCTCTTCACACTAGGTTCATCGACAAACAGTTCACTAACACCAGATATACGAGGTGTTTGCACAGGCTTCGGAGTTCTCATCAACTTCCTAACACCAGTCAAACCAGATTCCTTTCGTGGAGACAACAAACTCTTCTCAGGTGTAACTGCTCCCTCCTCTGTCAAGTTGGTCGGTGGCACTGATGAGGGTCGACCACGACGTCTCTTCACACTAGGTTCATCGACAAACAGTTCACTAACACCAGATATACGAGGTGTTTGCACAGGCTTCGGAGTTCTCATCAACTTCCTAACACCAGTCAAACCAGATTCCTTTCGTGGAGACAACAAACTCTTCTCAGGTGTAACTGCTCCCTCCTCTGTCAAGTTGGTCGGTGGCACTGATGAGGGTCGACCACGACGTCTCTTCACACTAGGTTCATCGACAAACAGTTCACTAACACCAGATATACGAGGTGTCTGCACAGGCTTCGGAGTTCTCATCAACTTCCTAACACCAGTCAAACCAGATTCCTTTCGTGGAGACAACAAACTCTTCTCAGGTGTAACTGCTCCCTCCTCTGTCAAGTTGGTCGGTGGCACTGATGAGGGTCGACCACGACGTCTCTTCACACTAGGTTCATCGACAAACAGTTCACTAACACCAGATATACGAGGTGTTTGCACAGGCTTCGGAGTTCTCATCAACTTCCTAACACCAGTCAAACCAGATTCCTTTCGTGGAGACAACAAACTCTTCTCAGGTGTAACTGCTCCCTCCTCTGTCAAGTTGGTCGGTGGCACTGATGAGGGTCGACCACGACGACTCTTCACACTAGGTTCATCGACAAACAGTTCACTAACACCAGATATACGAGGTGTTTGCACAGGCTTCGGAGTTCTCATCAACTTCCTAACACCAGTCAAACCAGATTCCTTTCGTGGAGACAACAAACTCTTCTCAGGTGTAACTGCTCCCTCCTCTGTCAAGTTGGTCGGTGGCACTGATGAGGGTCGACCACGACGACTCTTCACACTAGGTTCATCGACAAACAGTTCACTAACACCAGATATACGAGGTGTTTGCACAGGCTTCGGAGTTCTCATCAACTTCCTAACACCAGTCAAACCAGATTCCTTTCGTGGAGACAACAAACTCTTCTCAGGTGTAACTGCTCCCTCCTCTGTCAAGTTGGTCGGTGGCACTGATGAGGGTCGACCACGACGACTCTTCACACTAGGTTCATCGACAAACAGTTCACTAACACCAGATATACGAGGTGTTTGCACAGGCTTCGGAGTTCTCATCAACTTCCTAACACCAGTCAAACCAGATTCCTTTCGTGGAGACAACAAACTCTTCTCAGGTGTAACTGCTCCCTCCTCTGTCAAGTTGGTCGGTGGCACTGATGAGGGTCGACCACGACGTCTCTTCACACTAGGTTCATCGACAAACAGTTCACTAACACCAGATATACGAGGTGTTTGCACAGGCTTCGGAGTTCTCATCAACTTCCTAACACCAGTCAAACCAGATTCCTTTCGTGGAGACAACAAACTCTTCTCAGGTGTAACTGCTCCCTCCTCTGTCAAGTTGGTCGGTGGCACTGATGAGGGTCGACCACGACGTCTCTTCACACTAGGTTCATCGACAAACAGTTCACTAACACCAGATATACGAGGTGTTTGCACAGGCTTCGGAGTTCTCATCAACTTCCTAACACCAGTCAAACCAGATTCCTTTCGTGGAGACAACAAACTCTTCTCAGGTGTAACTGCTCCCTCCTCTGTCAAGTTGGTCGGTGGCACTGATGAGGGTCGACTACGACGTCTCTTCACACTAGGTTCATCGACAAACAGTTCACTAACACCAGATATACGAGGTGTTTGCACAGGCTTCGGAGTTCTCATCAACTTCCTAACACCAGTCAAACCAGATTCCTTTCGTGGAGACAACAAACTCTTCTCAGGTGTAACTGCTCCCTCCTCTGTCAAGTTGGTCGGTGGCACTGGAGATGTTACTTTATTTTGTTTGTCTTCCTGTGTAATATTTAGCAGGCTATGAGGAACACTGGAGTATAGTTTGTTGTAGTTGTTTTTATTATCAGTTTTTGCACCGTAGGTATGGAAGCTTTTTGACTTTTTTTCCTGAATTTTAGCATTATGTTCGTTTGTTGATTTGTTTTTTTTATTTTGTTTGGTTGATACAGGACTAGTTGGTGGGACTCTCGGTGACGGTGTTTTACTTGTTTTTTCTAGGAACCCAAGTGAATGTCTTTTGAAATTTTTTCGACTGACTGAGGATTTTTTTATTGGAGCAGAGTAAGCTGCGGAAGTTACTGGGAAACTAGCGAAACTTTCATGAGCACAACTAATATCAGTACTCAAGGAATTTAGAAGATTAGTGTCTGGTGTTGGAGGGAGAGAGATGACTCCAGAAACTCGATTATGTGTTACACTGTAATTTGGAGATTCACATGTTTTTGAGAAATCTGATAAATGCGATACCTCTGACAATTTGGAATCAAATGGTGTAGCTGAGTGCCCAACAACTGAAGTGACTTGTAAACTATGGTTTGCTGGGGTACTGTGACTTATTTTGACTAGTGGAGTTCCACCTCGTTTAACCGGAGTAGACGGGGGAAGAGATTTATCAAATCGTTCAGGGCTTAAGGGTGGGCCGAATGAAACCCCCCTCCGACGTTTAGGAGCAAGCATGTCCTCTGCAACTGGATAAGTTTTACCGGATATTGTACGTTTTCTATTACGGCTAATCAATTCTTGTTCTGTTTCTGGTGAATATGCTATGCTAATTTTCTGCGATGGCTTTGCAGACAATTTCCTCGCAATCCTCAGGGAATTCGGTGATGTGGGCAACTCTGGAATATATTCACGGGAACCTTCTGTGGGATGATCAACGCATTTATCGTAACAAGATTGGTTTTCTTGTTCATTAGATGGTGATCTCTTGCTTTCAATCACCTGCTGCTTTACATAACTTAATTCATCATAAAACTGATTAATTTTGCAAAGGTTGGATTGGTTAGATGATTCATTTAAGATGAGAAGCTTATGGAAACTCTTTCTAAAACCGGGTGAACGTTTATTTTCGTTTGGTGTGAAGTTGAAGTGATCATTAGATAAAGTAGATGTAATAATCGGAGTGTGAATACGGTTTTGTGACCTCACTTTGATAGATGACAAAACACTGCTCGAGGGATGGAATGTTGGATCTGGTAAGTCAGGAACGACAGACGACTTTGTTTGATTTGATTTAGAAACACTCACATCTGTACAGCTATAGCCCTTACCATCACCTACACTTTTTTTATTAAACTCGACATTTTCTGCTTGCAATACAGGTAGCTGCTTTGACTGTGATGAATTCGGTTCGTGTCGGAGTACTTGGATTATTGGTGGGGTAGCTGGTTGACGAGGAGGAACTGGACCATAACGTTCGTTGGTCCCTAGGGTTCTTTTCGGAGTCACAGACCTCTGTCGAGGGGAGCGAGTTTTAGGATTAACTAATATCTTTCTAGGAGTGGTACGTTTGGATGGATGAACAACAGGTAGAGAAGTTGGAGTTATAACCTCTTCTTTGTTATAGTGTTTTGGTGTTTTACTGGACGTTTCGTATAAATAATTATCTGTTGTTGTCTTTCGACTCTGAAATTAGGGCAAACAAATTGCAAAGCACATATTATATTATTATATTAGCAAGAATATTTTTTTTATTATTACTTCCCGAATGAGAGGAAACTTCCATAAAAACATGTTAACTAGGTGAAAGTTTGTTACTCATGCACATAAACTAAATTTGCTTATTTCACAAGGTTGAAAGAGTAACACAAACTTATTACCAATTAGACTGCTGTATTTAACAGTTATTTCCACAAGTCATAATGACAGTTAATCAAATTGTCAACTTGTCTGAACCCTGTATCGCAGGGTAGGATTCAGATAAATGATGTGATTGAAAACCACAACTTCCGTAACTAGAAATGTGCCGTTAAATTTTATTTACACGTTTTAAGAATCAACTCTCCAAAATAAGTTTACGTATTTTGATGTGCTCATCTGAAAGGTCACTATACTACACTGAAGAGAAACTAATGTGTTTAGTCAAAATTATAAACAAGTCAGCAAATGAGTGAAGAATTAAACCAGGTGTATAACTTAGAAAATTGGAATTATTTGTACAACTGTGACATGTTTTTTAATGTCACGGAGATTCGCTATTTCGAAAAAACTACTCGGGGATATTACACCATTTTAAGTCTTAAACAGTTTGTGAGTCTACAAGCTATATATTACATTATAGTCTATTTAGCCTTTGCTATTTAGAACAAAGTCGTGCCTTTTGAAACTGAGAACACTCAACACTCCATAAAGTATTGCCTGTATTTTTCCAATAAGTATCATGGAATGTTACTATCCACATAGAACTAGACTAAACAATTACATCATTCAGGAATTACATTTCGGCATAAGCGAATTACTTCCGAATTCGTTAAGCATAAGTGCATTCGCCAAACTCCACTGTGAATCATAAACACAGGGTAAGACCAGAGTAAAAGAATTATACATATATATCACAGATTGAAATCATGAGTCAATTGAAGCTAGAACAACCTGGAAGCACTGGACGGCCGTTTCGACCTAGTATGGGGCTCCTCAGAAGTGCGCATCCACGATCCTGCACCTCGCAAGACTCGAACCCAGGCCCTATCAGTCTCGCGCCAGGCGCTTAACCAACTAGACCACTGAGCCGGCATCCAACGGTGTTAATGTCTAACCTCAATCTGTGAAATTTCTAAAATCTCCACAAAAACCCATTCTGATAATAAACATCTGCTCATTAGTGACTGACTTCAAGAGATACTCCTGGAGTTCTGGTAGGAAGTCTTTACCAGTGGAGTTCAACCAGGTCTGCTGTGAGATAGGAACTCACTAAAAACAATGGTGTACGGTGGCGCAACTTCGTGGATTGGTTGAAGTTAGACATTAACACCGTTGGATGCCGGCTCAGTGGTCTAGTTGGTTAAGCGCCTGGCGCGAGACTGATAGGACATGGGTTCGAATCTCGCGGGGTGCGGGACCGTAGATGCGCATTGCTGAGGAGTCCCATACTAAGACGAAACGGCCGGCCAATGCTTCCAGGTTTTCCATGGTGTTCTAGCTTCAATTGACTCATGATTTCAATCTGTGAAATTTCTAAAATCTCTACAAAACCCATTCTGATATATATATATATATATATATATATATATATATATATATCAATTGACTTTATTTATTTATTTAAACGTAAATATTGGTACAAAGGGACACAATACTTTACATGCGCCAAACAGTAAAGAAACAAATTTGTGAAGAGATAGAGAAAAAAGAGTGAGCATAATGGAAAAATGAATAGGAATCAGTGTGAGAGAAAAAAATGATGGGAGCAATTCACTTAAGAAAAATGAAACCAGAAAGAATTCTCTCAATTCGAGTTTGTCTCAAATACAGCGAAAGAAAATTACAACAGGATCGCCACCGGTTTCTGTTCTGAGTCATGTCTAAAGCCCCAACCAGGTAATCGTGAAGGACCAACAGAGGCCAGCCCTATACAGATTTTTCATACCACGAGACCATGTCGTACATTGACCACCTTTTTTTACAACTAGTCTCAGCCTCTGGAAAAAAAATGCGCGATATGGAATTCCCTGAGACGACATTAGTACTATATGCCCAAGCCGCCGAAGTTGGTGTCCCAAGATGGTGACACTAATTGAATTATCGTCGTTGTGCCCAAACACATGCGTTTATCCAGGAACCCTATGGTTTGGCTTTGCTGGCGTTGGTATCGCATTAAGCGCTGAAGCTGATGGATTGCCAGTTGATTGGGTCCCCATTAACAGTCGGTTTTGTGCTGTTAGATTAAGAATTTCCATCAAAGTGAGAAATTGGTGTGAGAAACCATGCTTTTTCGTCATTTCCGCCTACTCTCCGATAGATTTCAGCTCAGATGCGATCAAGAATGAATTTTATTACCAGTTAAATGTTTTTCTGCATAAAACGCGTTCGACAGGTATCGTAGTACTAGCCAGAGACCTGAATGCACAGATTAGGTGTCTAGACATAGAGGAGGAACGTTCGGGTGGCAGATGGGGGCTTGCAGGTCTCAGGTCAGATAACGGTACCGTCTACTGCAAATCTTTCCACACTACAACCTGTTCCTGTCTAGCACCAACTATCGACACAGTCATCCTTGATGTGAAACCTAGCGTCATCCATCTACATCTCAAGCCTGGACTCGGAGCACAGACTGCCCACAAATGCCCTGATATGGCCGACAGTGGGGAGAGTCGGCTCTCCCTCTCGAAATGCTCTTACATGGCCACGCGTATATAGTCTTTGCCACGGAAGTCCTACTCACTGCCTTCTCGTGGCTGGGGTGTTGTTTACGAAAATGTGAGGACGAAAAGCAAATGTCCGGTGCCTTAACCAGATTCCAAACCGCTGGTGCACATGGGCTCCAGTATCCTGCGGGAACAAATGGCGTATGAACCAATTGCTGGTCACCAGCTGCCATGGGGCTGCATCTCCTTATGTTGCTCCACTGCCTTGTGGATCAGACCTTCAGGTCGAAGGCTCGGGGTGTGGCCCCCTAAGAAAACCACCTGCTTCGGTCTGGGCACCCGGGCAGTATCACAGCCCTCACACAAATCGAATGATTTATGTGGCGCATATGTATTTGGTGCCTCCTTGTACCAATATCTATGTGTTAAAATAAACAGATTGATCACATCGCTATCAGTTACCGCTGGCGTGGTTATGTAATAGACTGCCGCTCTTTTTGGATTACTTATCTGGACTCCGACGATGTCCTGGTCTGTGCTTATCTTACCTTACGTTTCCGTGATCAACAAATTCATCACCCTGAACGGATTGATGTAAGCAAATTGATTGCAGCTTCTGTTGTAACTAAATATCAAACGGAGCCAGGTTTAAGGTTAGCTGTCGCATTTACATCACGCCGTGAAAATGGCGAGTAAAGTTGCTTGCCGTTTCGACAAACGTCCCGCTTGTAAGCACTGAGATTTTACAGACTCCTTACAAATCGTTGAAATACGTTATTCTACTACGTCCACAGCGAGTTTGAACATAAACGAAGATAGTTACGCAACGAAATTGTGCAAAGTTTGTGTATTGACCGAGAAGCTTAGTGGTCGGAGTGTGCTAACGAGCTAGAAGCAGCAGCTACATCTGGTAACTACCGGACGATCTTTCAACTTATCCGAGTTAATGGCAGCAAGAAGTTTGGTGTGAGTGAAATAATCTGTGAAGGTAAAAGGATACCAATTAATAACATCTACCGACGCCTTGGAAAACGGGCAGTTTTCTGAGGGATATTTCTATCGGTAAGTTGCCCCAGGGACATTGATCAGATTATCCTGTCCTCCATGGCCGGTGACGACTGACCCGCCTAACGAGGCAAAAGTCCGCAAGGAAATCCAACTTTTGAATCTCCACAAATCACAAGGCCTAGATGACTTTTCAAAAATGGTGGAGACCTGGTTAAGGGACTGAGTCGTTTACAAATGTCTGGCAGTTAGACTGTTCCAATATTGTGGGATGAGTTTATAGTTGCTTCTACCTTTAAAAATGATCCATATAATCTATGCAACAATTTTCGTCGGATAAGTCTACTTCCGATCGCATCCGAACTGATGACTTCCGTCATACTTCGTAGATTATTCAAAACCCGAGATTGACTTTCAAAGAGCAGGCTGGTTTTTGTTCTGATCGAAGATGTATTGAGCATATCTTCACCCTCCGCAAATGTTAAAACACCGTCAAACTTATCACAGGTTAACAATCGTAATTTTGGTGGAGTTTTATTCTCTGAGCTGGATGGTTTGGTCGTGGAGCTTTCATCGTTCTTCTGAACGACATCATCAACACAAACTTCAGATAGAAGTGAAGTGTTCGAATTTCTCCATATGTGTTTCACAGCTTGTTCTGTGCACCTCGATGTTGATTGGCTCTTGTTGACCTTAAATTTATCATTGTTTACTTCTTTGTTTTGGTTGTGTCTCCCATTGGTTTGATTTTTGTTCCTATATTTATGCATGATTTTTCTGATTGGTTGATATATTGGATTGATTTCAATATGTTTGTTGATTGATGATTGAGTGTCAGGCTTCTAAAAATTCTCTGGTGTTTTTGGAGTTTCCTCTAAGATCTCTACATTTTCCCAATCGAATGAGTGTCCGTAGTTATCCACGTGTATTGATATAAGTGAAGAGATATCATGGCGTTTGACTGCTAATTGATGTTCATGTAGGCGCAGGTGGCGTCCGCTTTGTCCGATGTAGTGTTTGTCGCAGTTGGTACAATTTATTTTGTAGATGATGTTTGATTTGTTTTCCCTTGTTATTTCATCTTTTGGTTTGCATAGGATTGATTGTAGTGGTTTTGTTGGTTTGTGTGCCACACCTATCCCGAAGGTTTTCAGCAGTCTCGTGGTTTCTGATATTCCTTGTATGTACGGTAGGGTGATCCTTTTGTTGATTTTTGTGCTTGACTTGGGTTCTGATGCTGTGTGCCGTTGGTGCTTTTTGATCAACTTGATATTAGGGCTGCCTTCGATTTGTTGGATAGGACTGTTTTTTGGGATTGTCTATTGAAGTGTGTCTGAAAAATTTATGAACATCATGAAAGCCCTATATACAAACATCTCAGGCAGAGTGAGGGCATACAACCACCTCTCTCCATTGTTACATTCAAGCAGTGGGGTTAGGCAGGGTTGCTCAACCTCACCATTCCTCTCCAATTTTGCTATTGATCAGTCAGTCAGCTACAACGTAGGACCAGACACATATGTGCACCGGTCCAGGTTGCCATACCGCACCAGCACAACAAGATGAACACCGATTCATAGCAGTGGTTAGGTCAAAGGTAGTAATATATAAGAGAAAGATTGCATATAGAGATATAGTACAAGAAGAAAGAATTGCTTTGTAGAAAGAAAGATATGAAGCGACTTTAATCTCTTAGTTTAAGGGAAGACAGGGAGTGTATACACCGACGCCATTGTGATCGATTCTGAGCCATGTCACTCAGAGTATCCAACCATTGGTTACGATAGTCACGCTATTGATAGCGTTCTAGAAACAGCTCTGATGGATGTAGGTAATGGTGGTGTGGATCTGCTACCTGGAGAAAGACTTGTCGATCATGAGTATGTGGATGATATTGTCTCACTGTGTGATGATACCCAAACCATGCAGTCCTCACTTAATCAGTTGGCAATTAGTGTCCGTAGGTATGGTCTGTGTTTCGCACCTTCGAAGTGCAAAGTACTTTTACAAGACTATCAGGACCCTGAACCTGCACTCATCTTGGATCGTTAGCAGACAGAAGTAGTCGGGAAGTTCGTGTATCTGGGTAACTGAGTAAATGCTGGTGATGGCTTGAGTGATGAGAATAATTCACGTATGGTGAAAGCCAGAGCGGCTAATGCCAATCTGGGCTATCGTTGGCTCCGTCATTAGTCTGGCTGTAAAATGTCGGATCTACAATGCGTTGGTGAGTGCAGTTTTGCCGTATGCTTGTGAAACCTGGCCTCTCCGAGTCGATGGTGGTAGACGACTCTGTGATCATCGTTGTCTGCGAAGGATTGCTGACATCCAGTAGCGAAATCATGTTAGTAATGCAGAAGTTCGGCATTGTGTATCCAAGTACACCATCTTGGAACATCGACTTCTGTGGCTTGGACACGTTTTATGAATATTGTCCCAGCGATTTCCACGTTGTGGAGTATTTGGCAACGCTGGGACTGCTTGGAAAAAGCGGGTGGTCGTTGTATGAAAGAAAGCTGAATAGAACTGGCCTCTGTTGGCCATTCACAATTCCCTGGTTGGGGTCCTAAATATGATGCAGCCCTGTGGCTAGAGACGTTATCAAGCATGACTCAGAGTCGAAGTCAGAAGAGATCCTGCTGTATCGTTCTTCATGAAAGTGAATGTACCTTCTTCAACTTAAATTCTTCCTGGTTCTGTTTCTGCTATTACTATTATTTCACGTCCACACACTAATTTCTGTTCGTTGTTGTTGCTATTATTATACACACTTACATTATCTCTCTACAAACTTATTGTTATTGTGTGGCGCAAATGCATTTGGCGCCCCGTTGTACTAATGTTTGTGTTCAAATAAATAAGTCTTTTATCTGCTCACCGCCAAGAATGAGTGCAGATCCAGCGTCATGTGAGTCTTGGAAAAGTACTGTGCATTTAGAATGTGCAAGGCTCATGCTATACCTATGAACATTGTTTGTCAACTGGTCAAGTGAAGTTTTACCACGAATGTAGTTAAGTTCTTAATACCTATATTTCATCTTTGAATTTTTCCCTTATTAGGTTAAATTATCTTTACCGTTTGTTAATAAAATAGATATGTTTTGACAAGTTTGTTTTATTTCAAATTGTATTTACATGAAACAGTACAGTACTCCTGTAAACAACTGCCGTGGACAAAACAAGACCAAGGGACCTAACCGACAAAACTCAACTATTACATAGATGAAACTACACTTATTTGGCTATGACGTTATGTCACACACACCTATTTGCTAATGGCTAGCACACGACCAAGTTGGACGACGGTGGAAGGACTGTGGGGTGAGCGGTGTCGGTAAGTGGAGTTTGAGGCTGACGTGTGCGATAAACCTGACTCATACTGGCTCTTGATAACAACTTGAAATCTATCAAGGCTGAGTAGATATATCGTTTTCGGCTACCCTTACTCTTAATTTAGAAGCGTTTTCTTACTTTCATCCTCTAGATTTACAAGTTTATTTCGTAGAAAACTTTAGTTTTCGCCACTTACTGTTACCGCTTTGTTCCCGATGTTCACTATTTCTTGTGCTGTTATGAGATATAGTAATGGATTGATACGCTGATGCTAGGCCTTATACTAACAGAATATTTAAACTGAAAATCCAACTGTACAATTGGTTCTACCGCTAAATTCAACGGGATTAGTAGCCGAGTTTATTGGACTTATCGGAAATTAGTCAGACTGAAACACTTAGGTATGATACAAAACGCATTAAATAATGCCAATGGACGCATGTATAGTAGGACTAATGTCTAAAACAGAATGTACATGCACGAGGTTTCTCAATAATCTAGGGATTTTAAGACCATTTTAGGTAGTCAAAAACCTCAGATAAGTCCTTCAAATAACTAAATATGCACCATTTATGAAAGAGAAGATAAATGAGCCAAACCAGAATCAATATTAAACACTTATAAAGACGGTTTGTCTATAAAACTGCTGTACCAGATGAGTTACTAGTGTACAACAAATGGCCAGGAAATAATAAATGGATGGGAATCATCCTATTATCTACGGTAGTAGAAAGGGCATATGATGCTAAAACTATTACGAACATATTAATTCAATTCATTTTTAACCAAACAGACTCACTGATGGATAGAAAAAGCGAAACTGACGATCCCCAACAGTTAGTATGCAATTATCAGTCAAAACGCAAGCATCGTTCAACGGGAAATTATTAACTAACATTTTGTATCGTCCATCTACTCTGCTGACGGCTTGAACTAATCCATCTTTCAGTAGTTGCAGGGTACAATGAAATGGAGCGACTGTTGAGTGTTGCACACGAATGTCACAAGACTGGTTACTGCGAAATGAAGTTGCAAGTGAATACATTATTTACCTCCCAATGTCACACAAGGGCGAACACCAATCGCAAGTTAAACCATCAGTACCATCCCTACGGATGACAACTATATGTCCACTAGGATTCATACGTTTTACACGATTTTCAAATACTCTGATGGATGCAATTGGACTACTACGAATCCGCGACAGAGTCGAATTCAAATTCAGAAACACGGTACTCGACGGCCTTCACCAAATATCATTTTAAAGTAACAAAACACTGAATGGAAAACGGGCACCAAAGCATACTTGATATATAACTGAAAGAAGTTGGGTTTAAGTTATAAATATTTACATTCCTAAATTAACACATTATCGTCTGATGAGGACTGCATATCAATTCAATAATCCGAGCTGCTTCAATTGCCAATATCTTTCGATTGAGCTAATGTGTGCTATTTATTGGTCTTTCTGAGTGGAACAATATGTTGTGCCATCCTTCTTTGCTCTGTGCATAAGTCACACCCCACGTATTTCTAGGACGTGTCGATGATTAGTTTCAAGATAATAAGGTCGCAGAATCGAATATGGTCATGTCACTAAACAGCTATTACACTAATCAAACGCAGTCAAGATATATGAAGAAGTAAACGCAAAATTTACACATGTAGTGGAGAAATAACGTCAATTGAAGCAATGAGATGGTATTTCATGTGTACTTTACGACCCGGTGTTTTAACACAAATAGCCGCCCTAATGGGTTCTTTCAAGTTTAATGATTGTTCCCTGATAGTCTTTGAAACGAACCAAACGTTTTCAAGTCTGAATGTGACTTCACAAGATATTTGATATCACTGAACCTGTAGAACCTAGGTCTAGAATGGCTACTAGTGCACTTATCTATCGCAATAGGGTATAGATCTAGTTTAGCGTGACGTGCCTGCTTAGTCAACAACATCGTACGTAGAAGTCACATAGTTGTCTGTACTGACGTGTCCCATCGAGAAAGTCAACAACATTTGAAGAAAACCTTTGAGTTGGAAATAGAATAATACACTTGATACAATGACCTTGATGTTAAACAGAGTGACTGAGGCTGCATGGCCAAGCCATGCTTTCACGATTAACTGCTCCTGCGTTCACCTTCTCCGACCTTCTATGAGTGTTCATGGACTATTATAGATCCTCTAAGTCACTGAATGTTCAGCTTCAAGGATCGTGTGGTTAGGGAGTAATATCAATGCTGACATTCCTGAAATTATCATTAACATCCACTTTCTGTAGCGGCGAACGTGTTAGTAACTGTAGAACTATGGTCTACTACGATATTAGAACTGCCCTAATAATAGACCTAATGCTAAAACTGTAGATTCGTTATGATATAACCGCCTAATCTACAAGATCTTACGTGGAAGTCACATCATTGTCTACACCAACTCACCGTATCGTAACAATTACCAATACATGATGGAGAACGAGCTTAGGCTAGAGAAAGAACAATGTATTTAATATGAATAAAAGATATAAGGTAACATTCCGCAGGGACCACACCTGAATGGCCGAGCCATGCCATCTGATCAACTAAAATTAAATTCGATTCATTCTTTCCGCTCTCTTCATCGTTTGGTTTTTCTCCGTGTTAAATGCTAAATGTCAATTTCCCACACTGTCTCGTATTAAAGCACAATTCCACTACATAACTACCATGCCTCGCTCAAACTCCGTATCAGAGAGAAATTATTGTACATGGATAACCGCGGCTACGAATTCGCTTGCACAAATGTCAAAATTTAAGGTCGATGTATTTCTGTGGGTGGTAAAGAATTTTGGTAGGCTTGGCATCTGAATCAATCGGCAAATGATTATGTTTCAAATTGATTAGCCTTTAAAAAAGGTGAAAGAGCCATATTGTTAGAGTTTGACCAAAATAGTAAATCAATAAGGATGGGGGGGGCAAAGAATGGTAATAAAACCTGAGAAGACAGACAGTCGCAAACAATGAAGTCAACAAAAATGACCCACCGCTTGTGGATCAAGCGAAAGCCTACTCAAATATGATGCATGGCCCGATTCTTGCTTTGAGAACAGAAATGAGGACTACGAACTTAGACCGTTTAGTTCCAACAAAACTAAGAGCACTGAAAGGATGCTTTTGTGTTGTAGATTTTCCATATCATCTCAAAATGGTTCACACTTCTTTTAATGAGCGTAAAAATGCCCTTATTTTAGGAACCTCAACCTTCACAATCTCTCTTCTTCCAAGCATATGGGACGTTTTGGCCACAACATTTGTGGTGAGTGATGAGTACACTTACCATGCAGTGAAATATTTAATTCTGTGTTTTAATCTGTTTTAATGACATATTGCAATTTCACACTGTGTACTCCTATTACTGGTTGTTGCTTGTGTCTCATCAAATTTCTGTACTTATTGGGATTAGGAGTACTTTGTTGATAAATTTCACACTCATATCTAGCGTCGCGACACTAATGGACCCAAAAAACTTGAGAAAATCGCCGATCGTCGCTGAAAATGAAAATTTTTTCAGAATATCTTGTCACCTAGTGTCAGTGAAGACAGAATTTCAGTTCATTTTAATGACTTTTATTGGTAGAGAAACCTGTAGCTTGTCAAAAGATCATACATTTCCTGATAATCCGATTCTACTTTCCTCCAGCAAACGAAAGAGATCGCTAGGCGATCGTTCTGAAACTCTTGAAAGAGCACAGGTCAACGAATCAGTCCGAGTCCCTTGTCGAACTATGGGAAATTTCATGTTATGGCTTGAGTTTTAAGCTTTTGGTTTGGATTTTGGTGAAAAGCTGCACATATAGCGCTACGATCTACTGACTGCTGTTATAAAGTGCTGGAAACTAAGAAACCAGCTTAAACAAATTATTCCCTGTACTTTCCAGACAGCTAAATATTTCTGTTTTACCTCTGAGTTTATTAATAGTAACCCTTTTGGTGCTGGTACGCAACAAAATGATATCTTATTATCAAACATGAAATAAACCTCTAATTTCTTCAAACAGTAATCGTTTCAGTTCATTCAGACAAGCGAATAACGCGAAAACCACTTTTAATCCGACTTCAATAATAATGATAATATATTTCTACATGTGCAGGTACACGCCACTTTTACAGGCATGATCTATAAATTGCAACATTTGTTGGTGCACAACATGCTTCCCAACTTATTAAGTTTATAGTTGTTATAAAGTAGACTCGTAGAGCGCTTGCAGGAAATTATGTCCTTGAGGAGACGCATACGTCAAGTTTGTTCCAGATATCAGCAGTTTCATAGCTGTGCTCTCAGAGCAGGATTCTGAAGAAGAAAAAAGAGACACAGAAGAGCAGCAAGGCACTTGGATATGAACGCCAAACGTTGCTTAACATTGTGTAGTAGAACAGAGAGAGGTCTAATAAATTAGATTCATTTCCTGTTATCTCTTGTTAGAGTGAAATGAAGTCACTGGCTCCATATAAGAGAATTTAGTAATAAATAACAGTAAATCCTGTCTTTTATGTGGTAAATTGCATATTCGTAATTCATGTCAATCTCGTTGTGCACGTATCCGTAAATGAGGAATAATTGGACACGTATATAAATTTTGTAAATGTTTTAAATCATCTTCTACTAAGATGTTGAATAGTTGTAGGTAGGAGCCAATTGATTTAGACTTAAGTGTGGATTCGTTGTCGCACACTACCGCCCACAGAAGTATTTTACACCCGTTCAAAACCTAATTACTAAAACAACCAAGTCCAACACGTTCATCTTGCTGAGGACTGAAGAGGATCCTAATAGTACCTTGATCAGAGATCCAATCTCGCATTAGTAAAAGACCGCGAGAGGTTTCAAAATGTAACCAGCACACTTGGAATTAAGGAGAGAGTTCGTCTTCTTGAAGTATCAGCTAATTTCATGTGTTTTATTAGAGGCTGTGAAGAGTGAGTTAGATAAACTAGTTAAGAACGGATAATGACCCCCAATTGAGTCGTTTAGTTGGGCTACTCCATTTATGACTTCATTGAAAGCGAATGTAAAGAGCACATAGAATATGTGGTGATAACGGCTTGACACTAGATGCTCGGCTATCGCAGTAGAGCTGCGCCACTGAAGAAATTGAGGACATTTTATGTAAAGTACGAGAGTCATGGTATTTTTCAAAAGCATACCTGAAAGGTACGTAATTGCAGAATTCACTCTACGAGATCTCTAGCGAACTAACCGCTATTAAAACATCATTCGGGCTGTTCAGATGCAAATTCCTACCGTTCACACTATATGTTTAGTCCGAGATATTACGGAGGATTATAAATCAAATAATCACCAGTTTGATGGTATTGAATTGGATCAGTATTATGTCATAAATCATGCTGACAATATTGATTTGCACAACAAACATCCTTCAAAGTTATTTAGGCGCTTTCGTGATGCAAATGTGGCCATTAATCTATCCTAGTGTCAGTTTCAATCTAATTATATCAAGTATCTAGGTCATACCAAAGTATATACTGAGGCTTACTTGGCGACCTGATTGAATATCCGGGCTAACTGTTCGTCCCTTCTAGATATTTCGACAAGTTATTGTTTTTATTATTCTATTTTGACATGTTACGTCTTTTGATCTCATATACTGTTCATGTGCGTATAGGAAACAATCATGACCTAGCACTTCACAAGGTACAAAAAAACAGTCAGAAACATCGTGGTGGCTGGCAGTGTGGATTGAAAAGAATGAACATTATTCAGATTTCGGTTCCTGAACTGCTAATTTATAACTGCCTATCAATAATTGGCAAGGTGGACCATCTTCAACTCCTACTAAATGAAAATATGTGTCGTCACTGAGGGTGACCGTAATTCAAGAGTCTTGGTTGAATTACTTACAGGGAAATTGCCCAGTATCACCACAAGATTTCAATGTCTATCGTCACGATCGACCAGGATATAAGAAATGTGTGGTGGTGTAGCTACATTCGTAAACGTGAATTGTATCGATTTATTTTTGTATGAGTTAAGTTTTCAGACAACTTTATCGACTGTTTAGCTTTAAGATGTCGTGCAAAACACTTGAATAAATACAATTATGTTTATGTTACCAATATCTATGTGACTCCGGACTGCACGTCGTCTATAGCATCTGTTTTTGCTGATGAAACCACTGAACTTGCTGTTACTGTCTTCGATAGTCTACTCCTAACTGTATGTGGTGGTTTTAATTCATGCAACTGCAGCTTTTTTC